AAAAGGTCCATATACCAAATTATGTAGGACTAATACTTTCGAAGATTATTGCAATTTTAGTAAAAAAAAAAATTTATTAATTAATTTATTTATTAATTTTTATTTTTTGAGCATATTGAACTTTGATGGACTTGGGCGAGCCTAGGATATTGACCGAAAAATTCCAAATTCCACACAGGGGTTTTTTAAAGCATACTGTTTCGGGGTTAGCTTCACCGCGTAATTAATAACACGCACTGTTTTTTGGTTGCACTAATTCAAAATTCAATTTTATTATATTTATATAATAATATAATAATATAAAGTATATTTATTTTTTTTTGTGAGAACAACAAGAGCGGGATGAAAAAATAGAGAAAAAATACGCGAGCAGGCTTCCAAAATGTACGCGGCGGCGGTTGGTCTTCGACTGTGTCGATGTTGCGGTGTGTGCGGTGACGTTGCCTGTCGATAAGGCAGCCCGTGTGGTCCTTTGGCCACACTGACACGGCGTTGGCGGAGGTCGAGACTTAGTCGGAGAACTCGATCATTCGGGTAATGGTTCCATTTTGAGTTTTTATTTCTACAACACGAACGTTTTTATCTTGACCCGGATGCAATTGGATTACACGCCCAAAACGCCACTCATTGGGGGGTAATAAATCGTCTTTTATTACCACTAGATCACCTTCTTCTATATGCTGCTGTGGGCGCTTCCATTTGTAGCGTTTATGCAGCTCTCCTTGAGGTACTCGTTCTTCCATCGGATGCTAAATTGGTGATGCAGTGCCTTAAGTCTTTGCCATTTGTTGATCAAGGAAAGATGTTCAACGTTTTTTTCGGGTAGTGATAGGAGTGGTGCTCCGCGTAAGAAATGTCCTGGGGTTAACACAAGGGGATCCTGCGGATCTTCTGACATAGGGGAGAGCGGTCGGGAATTGAGGACCGCCTCTATCCGAACCAGAAGAGTAGCGAGTTCCTCAAACGAGAATTTTTGACCCCCCGCTACTTTTGTAAAATGTATTTTAAAACTCTTCACGGCGGCTTCCCATAGACCTCCCATGTGTGGAGCGTATGGTGGTATAAATTTCCATGAGAATCCATGAGGGGCATATCTTTCTGCGACGTCTGTAGCTGCTGCATTGAGGAACGTGGCGAAATCTCGTTGTAGTGCTCGTTGGGCGCCAACGAAGGTTTTCCCATTATCGGAGAGGATCTGGTGAGGTATGCCACGACGGCCGATGAAGCGTGCAAAGGCTGCGTTAAAGGCGTTCGTGCTGAGAGTTCTAACCGTGGAAGACTTACGGTTTGTAAGGGTGCTACCTTGCTTTTAGCGGCTAACAAATGCGATGAAAACGTGTTTTCGCTATTTTGTACTCTTAAATAGACGCAAGCACAAAAGGCTTTTTCGGAGGCATCTGAAAAACCATGCAGCTGGATGGGTTTGTCGGGGGTATACTGTACCCAACGGGTAATTTTAATGTTCTCAGTTTTGGGTAAATTTTCGTAAAAGGCATTCCATTTTTGAAGGGCCCCGGGTTTGATGTTCTCGTCCCAATCAGTTCCCTCCATCCAGAGTTGCTGTAACAGCATTTTTGCAAGGATCATTATTGGCGTTAGCCATCCTGCGGGATCGAATAATTTCGCTACTGCTGATAAAATCTGTCTTTTTGGCAGTCTTCAGCGAGTTGGTGTAGGGTTCTTATTGCCAAATATGGTGCACAATTAACACCAAATGTGACTGTCTTCAGTCGAAAATCTTCTATAGGCATATTAGGGTCTTTGCGAAAGACGATTCGCTGGAAATCTTGGTCTTCTTTGTGAACTAGTATTTGGCGATACATTTTTTCTATGTCGCCGTTGAATACGAACCGAAAGGCGAGGGCTTAAAAAATATACTTAACTCTGTGTCAGCATCATAAGCTTCATCGCCATCCTCGAGAACATCCTATTCTATTGGCTGTGTAATGCGTTTAATTAACACCAAATGTGACTGTCTTCAGTCGAAAATCTTCTATAGGCATATTAGGGTCTTTGCGAAAGACGATTCGCTGGAAATCTTGGTCTTCTTTGTGAACTAGTATTTGGCGATACATTTTTTCTATGTCGCCGTTGAATACGAACCTATATAGTCGCCATTTGAGAATAACGAACATTAAGTCGTTTTGCAGTATNGAAAGGCGAGGGCTTAAAAAATATACTTAACTCTGTGTCAGCATCATAAGCTTCACCGCCATCCTCGAGAACATCCATTTCTATTGGCTGTGTAATGCGTTTAGCTGGTGGAATAACTCGTACGCTTTCCTTGCTGGAAATTGAATTGCGATAATACGATTGACGTATCTGGCCGAGCTGCCGGCAATTTATATACTTCCGATGGCGGTGTTTTTTTTTTTCGCGGGCAGGGGGTCGAAAATGCCTATTGCATCATCAAAGCTTTCGCACAACAATGGTATGTCCGGAGACTAAAACACTCCCCCCGAATTGGAACCGTCGCCCACCCTGGGACCACTAATCGCATTGCTTCGGGGTGGCGTTCCATATTTCTCATTAACTAAAGTTCCCTCGGTGCACCTGCGTCCAGGTCCCGCTTCTTGACTCTAAGTAGGTATTCTGCATATTTAGCTATGTTCGTCCAGTTAGTTTCGCTATGTAGCATGGCTTGGATAACGTTATCTGGCGGCGGTTTGAAAGCATTATCTTGCTGTTGATGATAAGATTTTGTAGGTGATTGCTGTTTTGTTTGCTGGGATAATATGCACTTGTCTCAGCGCGTCTGAGTACAAGCAGAAATATGTATACAGGCTTGTGGTTTGTTGTTGGCTCTGGGTTGAGCAAATTGAAAACCAAAAATATTTGCCGATAATAACTGTGGTGTACCAATGCCCTTTCAAATGCTGTGCTAATATGTATGCACTTGTCGATATATAACAAAGTACATGTATGTAAATATGTCGCCGGTGATGACGTGATGTTCTTTTCCGCAATTCGCTGCTGCTATATGCATACACTTACTTTGTTAGGGTAGGTTTTGCTAGAGTAATCCACTCGCCAAGTGCGTTGGATTGCGTACAATATTGCTTTTTGGTATGTATTATTGCGAATACATATATGTATGTATGTATGTTATAAATGGGCAGTGGTAAATCTGATGCTAGAGATTTCGAAGTTCCGTAATTATAAGAGCAACGAACTTAAGCGTGGGTGCCTATATGCATATGTGGTGACAGGTAATAAGATCAACGGAAATAAGGTCAATTGACTTTATTTCCCACCTTGGTGCGAAATAAAGTCAATTGACATTATTACCTTTTTAAAAACGAAATAAAATCAATTGACATTATTTCTCTTTCAAACATTAAATTTGCTTAGCTTCGCGGCGGGCCGCGTCAGCGCGCCACACCGCGCGCGTCGCGCTCGCGCCCCGCGTACCCCGCGCGACCAGCGCGCACACCGCGTCACGCTACGCCGCGGGCCCCCCGGCCACCCCTCCCCGTCTCCCGACGTGCTGTAGCGCAGGTAGATTANGCAATGATTTTTGAGAAAAAATAAAAACGCTTGTATGTAAAGGAAATGCGCTTGAGAACGGATTTTTCGATCATGTTCTCAACACATACTGAACGTTATTTTTGCTATTACCAATCAAAATTCTAAAAAAGCAGATTTTCAGCCTACGCTAATAAACAGTATATTTTGCAACGGCCCGTGGCACCTCCCATAGGGCTGAAATTTTTAATCTGCTATAACTTCGGAACCATAAGCCAAAAGAGCTTGTAATTTGGTACGAAGACATGTCTATGGTAGGTGCCTATAGTTAGGTATACATAAATGAGTTTAAAAAGTGGGCGTGGCACATCCCATAGGCGTGGAATTTTTTATCAGCTATAACTTCAGAGGCATAAGTCACATGAACTTGAGATTTGGTATGTAGTCATATCTACCAAAGTTAATATTTCGAGCAAAGCATCGGGTTCAGGCTAGTGAAAATATAAATTTGGATGGAAACATTTTGTAAAGAAATTATTACGCATTTTGTATTTGACCATTTATCAATCAATTTTCTTCGTTGACAGCTTGATGTTTTTGTAAAAGAACAGGCTTCAACACAATTCAAAAGAATTTACAAAAACTCCTTTAATTTTTTTTTTTTTATATTTTTCCCCTGTTAAAGTTTACGTTTTTTTATTCACAAAGCAAATTAAAAATGAAAATATCTTGTGAAAATGACCTGATCTAGAAAAACGGTATACAGGGCCGTAATCTACGACCCAAAATTAATTAAAATTTGAACATTTTCCTTTCGGGCTATAAACACGACATGTACAAATTCTCGATTCCAGTGCCACTTATCGGCAAATTTGTTTGCGAGATTTTTTTTTTTCAATTTCAAATACTTACGTATAAGCCAAATCAGGGTGTGAATACAAAATTTTCAAATATCCAGAATCGGCACCACCCACCGGGTACAGCTAAAGCTTGTAGCTACAGAGGTGAACCCATAAGTTTAAAAAGTAAACGTCTTCAGAATTGGTCAAGCCGGTTGGGAGAAGAGCTACGAATGAGGTATGTCGTATCGGTATATCTCAATGTTAGTCTACCGTACAAAAACCATACTTATAATAATAATAACAGAAGCTATTTAAAAAAAAAAAAAAAAAAAATCAATTTTATTGCTTGTTTGATAATTTTTGGACTATCCTTTACGTGGTGTCGCATTTTGCGGATACCAAGGTATTGCACCGCAGAATATTGGAATAAATGATCACCTTTGATTTCTAACACATGCCAAATCACATCGATTACACCGTGCGACAAAAAAAAAAAAACAAATTTCGAAACACGCGAGGCAATCAATATACATACATACTCACGACGAAACTGTGGGCCAAATATAGTAAAACTGCGTTTAAAGTTTTTCTCTCTGACGTCAGGATATTTTAAAGGACCTTATTGTTTCAAAAATGCGATTTATTTCAAAAATTATTTAAAAAATTCGGTGCAATGTTGAATAACAATATGGGTACCAAATAAAAGAGAAAAGGTATTGAAAAGGACGAATGGGTATTGAAAATTTCCTTTTATTTTATTATATTTTTTTGAGCTAATAAAGTTAGAAGGACAAAATTTGAGGATGTGGTCGAGTATTAGTCCTTAAAATATAATTATTTCAGAATTTCAAGGATATTCAAGGACAAAATTGTAAAAGGACATTTTCGATACCTAATCGTCCATATGCATAAAAAAAACCGGCTTTAATTCTATAGAATTTTCCCCTTAAATTGATACCCATACTGTTTTTCTACATTGTACTCCATTTTTTTTTTTTTAATAATGTTTCAAGTAATCATCACCCTTATTGCAAGACTCACTTATTGAACGAGAAAACGTCTTTGAAAATACCACGGATAATCGATAATCGACTAATAGGCGTTTATCTACTACTAGTCGACACTCGCAATAGGGGTGCATATTTTTTAAATTTCAAAGTAGTTTTAAAAATCCTGACGCCAGAGAGATAAACTGAAAACGCAGTTTCGCGAATATGTTGTTTTTTTTTTTGTAAAATTTACTGTTGCACGGTATTATTATTCGAAAAGTCTTTCGATTTCAAAGCGATTTCTAGCCTGTATGTTTTTGCAAAATTCACGAATTGCATTTTTCTATTTTTATTTTTTCTTTCATTTGTACGTTATTTTTTTTTTGAAGTTGTTACAATATTTACGCATAATATTGCAATTATTGTGGAAAAGTCGTACACTTCTGTTTGCATACATTTTAGTGATGTAGTTTAGAACCAACATTTTATTGAGCATTAAAGTTGCACAACCTAGGATGGGCTTACTTACGGAAAAGTATGTTGTGCAAACAGTAAAAGTGGAACAAATAAATCTTATTAATACATATGTATATTTATGTATACAAAGCAACAACCATGTAAAATGAATACATTTTAGTAATAAGCCATTATCAAATAAATAAAAGTTTAATTTTCAACTTAAAATAAGTGTCTGTACAAAAACTTATGTATGTATGTATGTATGTATGTACATGCACTGATAAATACATATGTATGTATTCACGTACCATAGATAAATGACTAGTTTACCTTAATTAGTTCGTTCTTAAGACATAAGCATACATACATATACATATGTACAAGCATATTGCCAATTGCGTCATAAGCCGCTTTTGATTCGCCACACATTTGCTGCTCATTATGTGCTCGCTTAACCAAAAACTTGTATAGAAAGGCAACAACAAATTTAGCGAGCAGAAGCGATTAAATTTTGTACATACATAAGTACGTTAGGGTTTGTTTGAATGTCTATGCTTTAGGTTTAGATGAGTTATTGCGGTTCAATTCGCTCCTCCTAGCTTACTTGTTTGGCGAATCGAAAGCGGCGATATTCACGCGGGATTCATATGTAAATTATATGTGCATTCTTAAACAAATGTATTAGTATTAGTCCAATACCGATGAATAAAGTTTTATTAAGACGAAATAAAGTCAAAAATATGGGTGGTAACGAGTATCTTTTTGCATGGGCTCTAAATCATTACCACTGCAACTCCCCTCCTACATTCCACACTCATTAATAAATCATTAACCACCAACATTTGCCACCACGTTTTCCCATATAAAAGCTCAAGTTCTTTTTCTAACATATTTTTTTCTGCTTTTTCAGGTGGAGCAGGTGGAACTGGAAGTTCAAAAGAATGCGAAACTTTCGTTTGAGTGTAAAATATGACCTCTAAGTTCAAGGTGTGACTGCTATGTAAAGGATTCGAGCAATATTATCGCATTTCGATTTTCATTCTTACAATAATTGTGATGCAAATGTACATATGTAAACAGTTCGATACAAAACTAATGTATTTTTCTTTTCTCAAGGTTCACAAACTCGGCTATTTGCAACAGCTTTAATAAAAAAAATACTAGTAAAAGCCTTTTCGAGTGACTGAGGAGGGTCTGCGATGGATATCAGTTCCAGACTTGCTTATTAATGGTTTTGCTAAAAATTGTAACTTTATAAACTTACCCAAATACATACCTACATACATTGGTATATATGTATGTATAATTTGTATACCAAGGAGTGGCATATGTAAATTATTTTTACATACATATATTTCTGCGTATACAAAGTTAAAGAAAAGGAAATAATCGGAGAGGTGTGCCTTTCCAAAGTACCAACCGTTCGTTTTGATGTATGTATGTAAATGAATGTATAAAAGAAATTATTGTTCTACATTTTTTTACTAAGAGGACTCACAAGACATTGTCAGCGTCAAAACGTAGTACAATTTTAATATGAAGAATGGTTAAAATGTTTTTAGGGGGCTCGCAGGGTTTGAAAAGAGCTAACGTTCTTTTGTATGTGTGCCACTGGTTCAAAATCTATTAATAATCCTAAGGCATTACGATGCTTATGGCGTCTTGTGAATCCCCTTATTATCTCTTAGTGAGTTAAATCACCATTGTAGATACGGACTTTACTGTTAAAGTACGTTCAAGAATTCCAATAACTGGGAAATGCCTGACACAACCATGTCTTCGGTTTGATTTATACCTGTTATCGAAATCAGTGATGGGAATACTACAAATTAAAACTACGAGAACAACACTTTTAATCGATTATTATTTTTTTCTCACCTTCCCTGGTTTCCACGTATAATTTTGAATGGCATAAGAATTGATTGGCGCTTACACATATGTATGTTAGTGTTTGGCCGGGCTTCTCCTCCCATTTGTGTCGGTCACCTTGATGTTCTCACCAAAGGGGAGGGGGAACTACAGTTTTACGCCGACTCCGAACGGCGTTGTATTTTTATGAGTAGCTGTTTTTCATGGCAGAATACTCGGAGGTTTGCCATTGCCTGCCGAGGGGCGACCGCCAGTAGAAACTACATTTTCTGTGTTTTTTTTTTTTTGTTTTTGTTTGATGCTGGTCGGAAACTGGGCTCGAACCCAAGCCCTGCGGGATGGTAGTGCGCACTCTGCTAACCACTACACCAAAGATACCGCCGTTGACATTTTATTTAGTATTTAGCTTGCAGAAGTATGAAGTGAATATGTATGTATGTATGTAGATACAGAAATACATTCATACTCTGTATGCAATGACATTCAAAATACTTAAATACCTAGACGTTACTTTTACTTTAGTATTTTTGAAGATCGCAATTTCGAGTATTCATTTATATGTATACAATTTCGCTCGCCCATCACTGGTTTACATTTTTTATTTAAAGACTTGAATTTATTACCTAAACTGTAGTTTTTAAATCTTATCTATACGATTAGTTTAAATTTATTTTAGAGCTCTCTCTCTAAGCAAATGCTATATCAAATAGCAATTATTACCTGTAAATTTGATATTCGCATATACATATATACTACATACATAAGTGTATGCATATGTCTATTTAACTCTCTTATCATATAAAAAATACATGTACATATATATATAGTTGATTTCAAGCTATTACATTTCTACTTGACTAGTAACTCCTTTCAAACGCTAAGTGATTTTTTTTTTTATAGGATTATTTGAACATTTTCGCATTTCGGCTTTGCATTGATATTTCCGCATCCTCATCTAAAGTAATCATGAGTTCAAATTCAATAGAGATATGTACATAGATAGTTGCATATATGTATATGAATGTAAATACTTATTTGTTTTTAAATGCGTATACTATTGGATGGAGGTGGTACTCATATTCATACTCGTATTGCTTCATTGACATTGGCATTTCATTCAATATGTATATTTACATACATACATGCATACAAAAAATCATAGCTTAAATTATGTGGAGTCTATTCCCTTCTTCCTCTTTGTTTTTTTTATAATAATTAATTGCTTAACGTGTACATGCTTCACTCGGACTAGGTAATACACAGTTAGGTTCAATGTTTTTTATATAATTTATTATTTGTGCCAGTCCAATCTTAACATTATTTTTTCTTTCCCTTTTCTTTTTTATTTCTTTTCCTTTTTATTTTCATATGTTTTGACAACAAAAACACGTTAACTTTCACTCCTTTGACCGCCACCGGCAATTGTAACACACATTCACCACTCTTCGAAACTACCAAATCACCAACAAATCACCAAATCAATCAATAATTGAACTGCAAAATACCACAACGCAATCCGTGACAAATTAAATTAAAATTCGAAACGCCTGTATTGAATAACAACAACAACAACATCACTTTGCCATCGCTTGCACGACATGGTACCAGATTTAAGTATTACACGTATTGCTGGCCTAACTTGGAACGAGTGGAATGCTCGTTTGGCAATGCCTCTGGTCACACAGTTACGTGAAGGTTCACACCCACTAGTTTTCCCCACCGATCTCTCACTGAATACAGTGGACAAAGGTAGCGGTGCTATTGGAACGACATCACTGGATTGCAAGTCGCCGGCTCCGGACACATCGAGCGAATTGAGCAGCATTGCGGGCGGCGCTGCTCCCAACGAAGCGAACGCGTCGAATGTCACTTTGAATAGCAGCTCTGGCTCCATAACGAATGCCGCCGTGGTTGCCGAGAAACAGAACAGTGTAAAAATGAAGCATTTAACCGAAGAGGAAGCCGCTCTCTTGATGTTGAAAGCATCGGCGGAGAAGGCAAACGCCAACAACAGTGGCAATCTCAGTGATACCAGCTTCCATGAGGATAATACTAATGCCGGCGGCAGTAGTCTAATCAGTACGAGTGGCGAGTACCATTCAGCACTAAGTGGAGCAGCTGCCTTTGCGGATGTTGGGGGCGCCAGCGGACTTTGCAATATCAACATATTAAGCAATATCAGCGCCCTGAACAGCCTCATTGGTGCCGGAGGCAATGGATTAGGCGGATCGGCGGCAGCTAGTAGTGCGGGGGGTGGATTAGGTGGCGGTGGCGGCGGCGGCGGCGGCGGCGGCAGTGGTAGTGGCCACCCCTGCCCGGACTGTGGTCGTGTATACAAGCTAAAGTCATCGCTGCGTAACCACCAAAAGTGGGAATGCGGAAAGGAGCCACAATTCCAATGTCCATTCTGTGTATATCGTGCTAAACAGAAAATGCATATCGGTCGCCACATGGAACGAATGCACAAAGAAAAGTTCATTAAACTGGAGGACTTGAAGAGCTTCACAGGCGGCAGTGGCGACGACAGCGGCAGTGCCCCAGCTGCAGCTCTATCGTCCACAGCGCCCAGTGAACTGCGTCCGAATTTTTCTTAGCTCAATAAAAAATAATGAGATAGATAACGCAGAGCCATATGAAACAACACTTTAATAACACTAAGCGAGGGTTTACAAACAGATCGATTTTTTTTTTTTTAAGACTCAACACAGATCGTCGTATGTTGTTGAGTACAGTGAAAGTAAACATGGAACTAGAGTGCCAAATTTTTATTGTATTTTTTTTGTTTTTCGTAGTTTTTAAAAGCACCTTTTAATGATTATTCAACGGAGAGTCGTTACATTTCTAATCTAACAGCTGTGACAGTGAATTAGAGATTTCGGACTAGAACTAGAAAAGTCCAGAATCCTTGGAATATAAATTTGCCATTAAGAAGTTCGATATTTATTAGCTGATAACAGCTACAAAGAAATATATGTAATAATACACCTTCTTGCACCTTCTTTACGATAACAAACTTTTTACTAAGTAAGATTTTTTCTATTACAACTCTATGTATGTACATACATACATACCGGAATATACATTCATACATATGTACATACGTACATTTGTACTTTTATGTTTAAAGTTGTAACAGTCTGTTTTACAAAACTTTAGTGAAATCTTGCATTTCATGTTGTTATTATATTTGCCTTCATATACACTTTTGTATGTACAACATATGTACATACATACAGTTTTACATAAATAAATACATAAAAGACAGGAATGTTTGCAGAAAAATGCTCAGGTGTACTCAGGTGCTGCAGTCACTGTGATAGTACAAATTCAGTTCAGAATATCAGGTTTGTTTCCATGTTTTCTGTCATGGAAAATGAAGCATTTTTTGTATTACATACATACATACAACCATACATTAATTTTATATATGAAAGTTTGTAGATAAGAATAAGAGCAAATTGCAAATTAATTCCACTCAAAGCTTAAAGCAGCTAAACAGCAGTCCTTGAAAACGACATTATGTAATGCTCCAAAATAAGTAAATTTAAGTAAGATACATATGTATGCCACATATGTCACATGTACATATGTACATACTTACACACAAGATGCATGCATATTTACAGATCTAAAAACATTCCCTAATGCTTATTATTTAAAAGACAGTCCAACCCTTGGACATAACCAGACATTCCCAACGTATAAATATATATATATCGTCCTTTAAAGTACGAAACCGTGAATCAACAAAAAGCAAAACCGCCTAAGTGAGGTTGCATAAATTATTTTCTTGAGTGAGTAAAAACACTAATATTTCAAAATGGTTCTCTTTTTTATAAAGCAATCGCATTTCTGGCTAGTATATTTTTGAGGACAAATGGATAAGGATTGAGCCAAGAGCTTCTGTCTGGCAGCAAATGTGAGTTACGCTGTTTTGCAGAAAGACGATACGTAGTTTTGTGCTTTAAACGACGATATGTACATACATACATATATGTACATATATACATACATACAAATGTGCGTATGTAACTAGGATAAAAAGACATACATACATTTAAGGACAAAAAACTCAGTGAAACGTTAATATTTAATACTTGACACGGAAAGGTAATTTGTTTGTGATAGGGGACGACGACATTCCATTAAAAATTGAATAAAATGTATGCCAATCTCGGCTAGTTAAAATCAGATTGGCCTATGTTTACTTAGGTTTCAATGCATTCAGTAATTTGTAGGATAAACACGCACATACACATAGGCATAGTTGTAGTAGTTTTATAACAATTTACCTCAGTCATGTATAACCGCCAGTAAATACAAGTACATACATACATACATACATACATATGTATAATGCACAAGACCGTTTAAGTAATACATATTATATTTTTTTTTTATCGTGCTTGATAGTTTTTATTCCTAATTTAATCTTATGCGCGTAAAAAAAAATTTTGATTTTTTTTTTTCGAGAAGACAACCGAAATTTGTATCATATTCTTGAAAAAGATGCTCCGTAACATCCCTTCGAAACGATCTGATTTTATTTTGTTCTTCCACCGTAAACTATGCATAGTTTTTATTAATGGATATGTCTGTTAGAAGCAGATCATACAGACAGGAATTATATACAAATTTATACTACATATACATTTAACAAATTTGTACATATTTTTAACAAATTTATTAGTTAGACGCAGGTTTATCGGTTATTGTGAAGTCATATTTTTATATGTTTTGATGAGTCATAAATAATAACTTATTAATAGAATTAAAAGCAATTTATGTATTGTATGTATGTACATATGCATGCATATTTATTTTCCCAACATTCTTCCTATACATACATATGTATGTATGTATATTGTACATACATTTATTTCATATCGTTAGCTTAATATAGAAAGGCCCTAACTCATTTTGCATTTCGATTCCAGATTTATACAAAATATATGTCAAATAGCTCACGATATACATACATACATATCTAATAGAAATTGAAAATAAATATTACAGCGTTCGATAAAATATCATCAGGTTAATAAAAAACCAGCGCTTAAATTTAAATTTTCAAACTGTGTTTTTGGCCTTTCTATATTAAGCTAACGATATGTATGTATATTTCTTAGTTAAATGTGCGTAGTAACTCTTTTTACACAAATAGAAAGAAAATTAGTTTATATTAATAAATAGCATTAAAATAAGAAAGAAATGATGAGCGAGAGACATGCATACATATATGTATGTATACATACATATGAAATATAACAACGAATATATGTATGTACATAGAACTCAGGTACTTAGTTGAAGCGATTCTTGAAATTAATTACATACATACTTTCAAAACTAATGTGTTTTATCGTTGAAGTAGTAGACATTGTATATTATATACATATGTACACACACACACATACATATGAACATATGCTTTGTGCCAGTGAGACAAATTGTTTTATTATAAATTCGGTGTTCGGACACCGGAATTGTTTTCCATGTGTGTTTTAATGTGTGTGTTTTTGTTATATTAAAAAGGTCAGAGATTTATGTAAGTCAGTGTCATTTTAGCAATTTTGGTTGATGGTGTGATAGTGCTTTCAAGCAGAGCTTGATACTCGTTCTACTATCATTAGGCTATTGGCAAGCACTTTTTTATTCGAACAGGAAAAACTAGTACATCCATGTATGTATGTGTCGACATGTGGTCACAAAACATAACCTTATTCCGCATTTTAAATTATATAGATATAGTCATACACACTATGGCAAACCCTTACTGTAGTGAACGATATTTTATAGGAATGTAATTAACTTTGAGTTTAAGCGAAAGCAAACTTTTGTTAGAAAATTTAAGTATAAATATAAAATTTAACAAATACATACCTCAGAAAAGGCATACTTCAAATGCACATACACGGACTTATAAGCGAGTCGAAGATAAAATGAAGGGTAATTTTTTTTTGTGTTTTTTTTTTTTTACCAGCGAGACAAAGGATCGCTCTAAACAAAATTATGATAAACATAAAAATAACAAAATTATGAGTGATGGCACATATCAAACTCAAAAAATGATTATTTTTAAATCCGCGGTGTTTTGCTACAAATAATCGCGCGAACTGTTTTTTAACACAAAAAAATTTTGTGCATATTTTTTTTTTTTGTTTGAAATAGTGATTGGCTCTTTAAGATAAATTGGTGTCGGGATACTTGTGAACGAAGTAATGAAAAACAAGAGGACCTTAAACGTTAAAATTTTAAATTATCTTAACACAAATGAAAAAATTTATATTTTCCTTAACATAAACGCATTATTTACTTTTGTTAATATACATATATGTTTTTTATTTGGATTTTGCAAAGCAAATCATCGAAAATGGACGTACGAAAAAAAAGACAGATACAATATGCTTAGCCATAATGAAAATAATTAGATTTTAGGCAGAATAATTTTACGAAACTATGAAAAATACTCATAATGTTATACAATGTAATGAATTGCAATGCAAATTAGAATTCAGTGCGATGAATGAATGAATCGAGCTTAAAATTTTAGGCAAAAAAAAATGCAACGAATCGGTTACACTGAATTTTAGTTTGTTCTTAGTTTATCTTATAAAGTAAAGATATTTTGTATAAATAAGTTCTTTAAATGGAAAATCCAGCAGAATGAAAATAAAAAATGTATTTCGTAAAAACAAAGATTGAATGAGTTTAAGTACTTTCATCGCAATTACATATGTATGTACATAAGTCGGACGTTTGTCCTTATTTTTTTGTTTGTTAGCAGACTCTTTTTTTTTTTTACTTTTGTTTTACAGCATTTTTAGCAAAATTTGTTGACATGTACGTATTTTGTTGTAGTTTGTATTTTGAAAGTAAGTACATACATACATACATATGTATACATAAATACATATGTATGTACATACGTATGTATATCCGTTTTTCTCTTTTTTGTTTTCTCTTAAGATTTTCTCTAAAAATTTTGGTTTTTCTTAATTTAAACGACTTTAATCTGAGTTTGCTTAAAAACTCTGCCTAAAGCGATCAAAAAAAAAACTCCACACAATCATTTGGACACGTGATTATTGTTGTAATTCCTTTTACTAATACACTTAGCTGTTGTTGTACTTACAGACGGGCTGTTGCAGATGGCTTCCAAAAACGCAACAATGTCGACATGCCTGCCTGGTACTCCACTCACAGCGACGTCCACTGTCTACAGCTCTGATGCGCAAACTCAGTCCCAATGCGAGTCGCGTATCCGTGTCCGCGACTGGCTTATGCTCGCCGATCAGTCTATACTACAGAAGACAACAGATCCGCATCCAGGTATTTACACTCTTATATTCTTCTAAGTTTCTGTTATTTATGAGATTCGGCTACGCTCGTTATTATTTACATACATACACTGCGGAGTATAACTGGAGATGCATTTACTTTTTCGAGTTTCCGGCACGTTAAGGAAATTCAGGAAAAAATTTAGTAGCCGTTTTAACGGCCTTTGAGACATTCATTAAATCAAGGGACAAAATCTATTTTTTCTTTTTAATCCGCGAATAAACGCTGCAATCAAAAACTTTTAACTTTTTCTAGTACATACATACATACATAACTGTAGACGAAAATTTACTGCTTCATCCTCAGTTATGCCTGTTTTTTGAATTGGCCCGAACTAGTTATTTTCACGGCCTTTTTGAGAATCATGACTTCCCACGTATTTAATGCTCCATGGTACAATCTCTTCGATGAAGCCTGATGCTACTGCAATGTGTCGCTAGGTTTGTGTACTGAAACGTAATCCTGGTGGAAAATACAGTATCTACTCTTTATCGTTGGTTATTACGTTCCATCGTCGGCCGCTGTGATGTAGTTGTTAGCAGCGCGCTACCATTCCTCAGGGCCTGGGTTCGAGCCCAGGTTTATTTATTTATTTATTTATTTAAATTAAATTTTAAAAATCTACGACATGTACATACATCGCATGTGGGAAGTTCATTTTTCCCTTCCGTTTCTTCGTTCGGTAAATAAACTAAATGGTTAAAACGTACACTACTTTGTCCAATCGCTGAATATTAATTGGGTAATTTCGATATTATGATCGCGAAATTTTAAACTTTATCCTGCTTCGATGTTATGATCCTTATCTACCGAGTGACATTGTGAAATCAACTAAGGAAATTTGGTTTTTGATTGCAATTTATTATTCAAAGGTTTTGCGTGAAAACTTCTCAAGTGGGCCACCTAAATTTGGAAGTCAAAATGTTTTCATTTATTCAGTTTACAACCATAAACAAAAATTATAATTTGAGTAATTTTGCAAAATTCTAAGTTTTACAAGAGTTATTGTTATTAACTTTTTTTTACATGAATTCAGTAATTATTTATTTTCTACTGATTCATAGCGTGTATCAGCTGATTTTGACCGTCCGAAATTTTCATTCTTTACAAAATACATTTGATACATAAAGGGCCGTTAAACAGGCATTATAATTTTTTTCCTAAAGTTCATTAACGGGCCGAAAATTTGAAAAAAAATTTGCTTCTATAATTGTATATCGACTGCTGAGTGGAAGATCGACCTATCTCGGCAACCAGTTCGAAAACGTCCTATCTTAAAAAACTTTTCAAGAACACCCTATTTCAGAATTCGTTTCAAAAACGCCCTATATCAGCACATTTTCAATACATTTTGAAGTAAGATAGGGCGTTTTTGAACCGAATTCTGAGATAGGGTGTTTTTCAATAAAATTCTGAAATAGGGCGTTCTTGAAAAGTTTTTTAAGATAGGGCGTTTTCGAACTGGTTGCCGAGATAGGTCGATCTTCCACTCAGCAGTCGATATGCACTTACTCAGTGACGACTGAATGGTGATTTTTGTTAAATATTTGCAAGATTTTTAAAGTTAAAATTTTTTTTGTTATTTTTTCATAAAAATGTGGTTCATGCTTACACCAAAACCATATAAATCAAACTTATAATTCAAACTTTATACAGAACTTATGCTAGAGTCACACTTCGTAGTATGGTATCAATATTACGATCTATACCACACGTAATTAAATAAAATTCTAAAAAATCTAATAAAAAAACTCGAAAATTCAATGAAATTTATGTTCTGTGTAAGGTTTGAAAATTTGTTTTATATGGTTTTGGTTAAAGCTTGAACCATATTTTTATGAAAAAATAACAACAAATTTTAGCTTTAAAAACCTTGCAAATATTTAACAAAAATCACCATGCATTCAACACTGCTCCCCACTGTATGTGCCCTGCCGTGAAAAGCCAAACCAGTTAATAAACAGTCGTAATAGATCAACTGGTAGAAACCTACTAGTTTATTGACTAGCCTTAGCTAGAGTGTCTGCTGCCAGTTTGCCAATTTCGAACCACTTTCTGTTATGCGGCTAGCGATGAAGATTTTTAGAATTAAATCTACAATTTGTCCGTAACGGAAGCAAGCGTGAGGAGGTCTCCGCAATTCGCTAACGGAAGAAAGACTAAACATATTTAACTTAATGCATCTACTAGCCTATTTCAACCGAAGGCTTAACTGCAGTTAAGAGCACAGATAAGTACCAAGAATTTTAATATAGGTTTATTTTTTAATTTTTATTTTGTTTTCCTTTCGTTTGCTTCTGCTTAATCGGTGGATCTCTACTCCCTCCGAGTTGTAATCTCCTTTTAACAATAGACATAAACTGCACAGTTAAGGCTTGGTGGAAATCAACTATAAGCTCTCAAAAGAAATTACAGTTATATTTGCATAATGTAATTTGCATGTAATTTTTAAGCAGTAAACAAAACCCACTTCAATTCTCATAGAAAAAATTTAAGAGGTCCGTTCTTATAATGCTCGGATCTAAATCAAATTAGTATGGGACCCCCTCTGAGGTACCATTAAATTCTACAAAGATTTCAATAGTTGCTATCCTTTGAAGAGTGTCTTAGTAGTGTTCTTTGTGAAAAGGTACTGTAAATTACACTCATAACTGTAGTTATATAGATATTTATTTTCTTCGATAAATATCTGGCGAGAAAGCTGTTTCATTACTTCAACTGTTTATAATTTCACTATGGTGCAGGGTAATAACAAATAACAAAACACTGAGTTTGAGCTTGCCTTCCTGAGAAGCAAACTGGTAGTATCCTAGTCCATAACTAGTAGGTTTTACTGCAGGGTATATATTAACTCCAATCCACTCCATTTTTAATTTTTCTCCTACATTTTGCATACTGCATGCACTCATACATAACTCAGTGGGAAACTTGAATGTTTGGTAATGTGTACAGTAATGTATCGTCCTTTATATACGTGAAACTATAAATAGAGAAAAGGAGAAGAGCCACAGGTTTTGAACCCTCGACGAACAAGTTGGTAGTAAAACGCGCTACCAGTCGTACGCACTCAGCCTTATCGCCATTTTCATGTGAATTAATGGTTCCCAAAATTTAACGATTTAAAATAAAAACAAATAGGGAAAAACGTAATTTTTTTTTTTTTGCTTTTATGATTTTTGGGAACATTTGTTCACATGGAATTCGCGATAATGCCGACTTAAAGTTGTTCTCAAACTTTTAGCTTTGCTTGTGGCTTCAAAACTGCACATTAACCTTTCGATCGCTCAGGAATGCAACAGTTCGGTTATCTCAATGTTACGGCTTCAAATTTTCAGCTACACATTACCCGCTCGCTTCCATTGCTATGCATCTTTTCGTGGTATAAAAATGTAATGCATTCCCTATTTATTTTCCCACTGGGCACTGCCAAATGTAAGAATGTATGCTTCTACGCAAAATATTTATTATTTATATTTACCATTATTGATTAAATTCAACTTTTTATTATTAGTTTTTATCGTTGATTTTTTCTCTCTTTGCAGTTTTTATTTCGTTTGTTACAACGATACTAATTTTTCGCTTTTTTCATTTTTAAACTTCCGATCTGATTGCATTTTTATTTGGCACCGTCACATCTCTCAAATGCGGTCCATATTCCTTTAGTTGTTCTATCGATTGAGCTAATCATTTAACCTGACTCGAATAATATTGCATTCATACTAACCAAACTTATATCTCCCTTTCTTTTTCACGCGGCATTTTGACATTGTTTTCAAACACACACAATAAACTAAATTTTCACCCAAACTAACCGTCAGACAAATCACTAACCACCACAGTCGCTAAAGCGGACACTAACACCGTAACATCTGTTGGAATGAGTAGCGAAAATGCCAGCACGCAATGCCAAATAGCAGCGTCCGCGGCGATAGCGCCAATGTTAGCAAGCAGCTCTGTTTTGGCACAATCAGCAGCAGCAGCAGCAGTAGCAGCATCGACATCTTCTACATCGGCCCCGCAGCAACCGACCTTAATGCGCATTGGTAGTATAGGACGCACCACTATTGCGTGCGTAGCACCCGCCGTACGAGGTGATGATGGAGAAATGAATTTGCTAAACAATGGCAGTATGGGTGTGATATCGGCGGCTGCTCTGGCGGCTGCGGGAGTTGAGCTGGAATCTGTGGATGAGAGTATGACCGAGGTGCTGGTGAAAATAGAGAATTCGTCATCTTCAACTCAAGAAGAAGACGATGACGTTGATGCGGAGCCTGAAGAGATTGGCGACGGCGACGGCGAAGAAGAGCGGCAAGAAAGCTCTGATGGAAAAGAACCAGATTTCAACTATGATCTCAAGTTGTCGAGCCCAATGTCTTGGGCTTTCGATACAGTGAAAATTGAAAATGAAGAAGAGTTCGAAGACATACTATCCGGTGGGCATGACACAACCAACACCGAGGATGAAGACGATTTGCTAACGACTGCAGCCGCAACAACGAAACAAGCTGCAGTCTGCTCGCCTAGTCAAATTACAATAACGTCAACGGAACCTTCTGCAATGCCTGCCACAAAGGAGGACGGATCGGCGTCTCGCTCAAGCAATGTACGTTTCACGGCCAGCCAACGTGCAGCCTGCAAGAGGCGATCACTAGGCGAGAATAGGGAGTCAGATTTAGAATCAAAGCAGCAGCAGCAGCAGCAGCAACAGCAACAGCAACAGCAGCAGCAGCAGCAACAACAACAGTTACTTTTAGAGCAACAACAACATCTCCAACACCTGCAACTGCGACCGACTCAGCAAACTTTGCAGTTCAAATTAGCTTCTATTCCCGCAACAATCACTTCAGTAACAACAACAACAACGACAACAGCATCAGCAACAACCAACCAAGATAACAGCAATGGCGTCAACGATCAGATTTGTACCGACAATGCAACCGGCGATGGCGGAGTCGGAGGAATAGGCGGCGGGGCCGAACCGAATGCAAAGCTGAACTCGAATGCAGGCAACACCGCCAAAGCACCTGATTTCAAATCGTCCGTTTCCGATGACAAACGATATCGCATTCTTGTACAGAATCAACGCATGAGAAAGGAATCGCTCGAGCACTCAGAAGATATGATTTACAATGCCGATATCGAAAAGCCATGGGTATGCCGCAACTGCAACCGTAATTACAAGTGGAAAAATAGTCTTAAATGCCATTTGAAAAATGAGTGCGGCCAACCGCCGCGCTACTTCTGCAGCAAACTCTGCGGATATGCCACAAATGTGCACAGTAACTTGAAACGTCACTTGAACACCAAATGTCGCGATCGCATAGACGAAGACCAAAAGATCAATACCACATACACGCTCGTTTTCCAACAAAACGAATAAGCTTCGATTGCGCACACGCACTGAAAACTTGTTTTTTTTTTGTGTTTTTTTTTTTAAATACATTAATCCGTCGTAAGAATGCTAGAAGGATTGTGAATCATGGCCTAAAGGATTCAACATCCGTAGCTAATGCTTATAACAAATCCAAGAATTTCCTTTGGGCTCTCTTTATTTTCACATGCATATACATACGAATATAATTTATTGTCCAGTTTGGACTGATGCTAGTCAAAGTGAACGAACGGACCATATAAAATATGATTGTAAACGTTCATGCATAAATACATACATATATAGGGAGTACATATGTATACATATTTATACCTGTTTTTTTTTTTATTATTCAATTACATAGTATTAGTATTGTTATTGCACTGTGTGTTGCCTTAGGGCCTCAACGAAATAATGCCCAAATGTCGGTATGGTCAAATCCCAAAAGAACTTTTCTCCACCTCATCATTTTTTTTACAGTGGGTTAAAGTTTACACTTTTGGACCATAAATCATGTCTTCTGAGACCTACACATAAGTAGAATTTAATAAGCAGTTTTTCGAGGAAAATTTTACTCATTAATTCCTGCCGTAATGGGTCCTTTTTACCCTTATTTTCGAAGGAGTTCCATGTAAGTTCATTAAAAATAGCAGTTTGTACGTTTCCATTTTCTATAAAATTGTTAAGCAGAAAGAGTCAGGGTCTTTATCTAAATTATATCATGAAAATACTTTTTTTTTACTCTTGAACTCTTCCCAGTATTGGGGGTTTTTACACTTTCATGAGGAAGTTCATTAAAAACTGTAGATGTATCCTTAACCATCAGATTTTTCTTTCTTCGGCGACTCCCACTTAAAATAATTTAAAACTTTTGGAGAGCATTTAACCCACCAACCAACTTTTACTAATTTTTACAAAAAATTGTTAAAAATACACACAAACGGGAGAAGTAAAAGTTAAAATAATATTTATTGCGCACTAAATTTTACTAAGTACAGGTTTTTGAAGATAATAATTATGTTTTGAAATCTTTTGTCTTTGAACAAAAAAAAACTTGATTTACGCCCTGTGTTTTCTGAGATAGGGCGTTTTCGAACCTGCTGCCGAGATGGGTCAATCTTCAACCGTCGATGTATAGGTTTCCGAAGACAAAACTTATGTTTGCGGTCAGCTGATGCATAAAATCATATTAATTTGTGGCCAGAAAATGGAAAGCTTTAACCCTCGCAGCGCCAACTACCGTTGCGCACTAATACGCAGAGGCCCTAAAGGAAAACTTTAAAATTGTTCCACAGTGTTAGTAATTCAATTGCGTAAATATTCGTATTTATATAAATTGAAATTGAAAAAATAGTAGCACGCATTTTTCGGTTATGGGAAAGTATTTCTAACAGTCTATGTATATGTACCGTTAATGCGAAGAAGTATGACAACAAAAGTCATTAATGAAACCTTTTCTAGTCAAATAATGATTTGAAGTCTTAGAAAATTTAATTACATATAGATATTTATTTTAGCGTACGGTATTAATAAATATGCAATTTATTTGTTGCTGCCATTTTAGTTTAATATTTATTTGATATCCATTAAAAAGAATGATTTTCGAAAAGTGATGTTTTTTTTTAGCGTAAAGGAATGTAGACTTACTTACTTAATTATTACATATACATATACATATGTATGTATATTCATGAAAAATACATGACTGCATAAATGTGTATTTATTGTTCACTTATTTGTATGTATTTGAAATGCTAGTTCTTTGGTACTATATCGCTGACGACACAGCGCCCATGCATACGTAAATACATACATACATACATATATAGTTAAGCTTCTTTAAACAATAACTGGTATAGTTGCAATATTGTAAAAAAAAGGAAAACTTTGTAAATGCAATAACTCAATATTATTAAAAAAAAAAAAATACACAAGTGAACACACACCTGAACACATTTAAGAAAACTGGCGAAGATTTTAAGTAACATATGTACATTTGTATGTATGGTATACTCAATGAATCATCATCTTCGCTTAAGTACATACATACATATTTTACATAAATAAATACATATATTTATAATTTATCTCTAAATGGCTAACATAGAAGAGAGCATTAAATCTGTACACCCAAGAATAAAATTACTAATAAAACACATTTGAAGAAATCTAAGACGCAATGTAAAAAAGTTGCTATTTTATTGATTGATTTGATTGCCCTTTATGGCTGGTTCCAAAGTATAACATATGTATGTTCTTTTTATATGTGTACTTACATCAACGATTATTGCATATTCAAAACCCCCGCCCGGGGTTCACTCATTACAGCTATCATCAAGACACCAATTATTCATTATTCTAAGTGCAATGTGCCTTTGTTGACCTTTCACTAACCAGTTTTCTCTTTTAGGTCCATTTGGCCAGAGCGCAGGATGCTATCGAAGAAGAACTTGAGTAACACAGTCCAAACCGCTATGAAAAAAACGTACTCCTATACGTACGAAAAACATATACATATTCAGATAAATAACTCACATCTATTTCCAAATCTAAGATTTATATTTATGTATTTATCTCTTTAAAATAGGACGACTCCAGGCTCGGAGTTTTCTTTTCGTCGCCTTTGCCTTCATCAACAACAAGAAAGAACATCAAAGGTGTTAGGGATCGTTTTGGACCAGAGCAGAGTGAAAGGAGCTATCTATATTTTATATTATATTTTTTCGTAGCATATATCACAGTATTTTACTCGTATTTGTTCAACAATATTGTTTTGTGAAGTTCGAAACCGTTAACTTATGTATGTACATACTCGTATTATTTGCTATCTGAAGAAGTTTTTCTTTTTCTTCAAATAGATTTGCTTGTGAATTTTATTCACAACCTAAATGTAGTTACCTGTTTTTTATTATCTAAGTACATAGTATATTTGTATTGAAACTTCTCGTATATGTATTTCGTTCCGTTGTAAAATATAATAAAAAATTAAAATTAACTAGCTTAAACATAACTAAAGATCGTAATTAACGTTTAAATGCATGTGTACTCTTTTTATTACTTCTGCATTAACTATCTACTTTGCGAAGACAAATTGTTCATGTATGTAGCAAAAGCATTGCGGTAAATTTCGGAAGAAAACATTCGCGAAAGTAGATGCACAGACTTCAAAATACTGAAAAGATATTTCCTAATTGTTTATAAATTCTTGCACCCAGTTAATAAAGACAGTATTTCCGTTACGTTATGTATTGCAAAAAAAAAAACAAATACCCTGTGCAGATATTTATTGCTGTGACTGTTCAAATATAGTTTACGCGAGGCATATGTATGTATGTAGTATTTATGTAGATACATATATCAAATTTCAGGCTTAGTAAAGAGGAAAAGCGAATTCTCTCAAAATCTGAACTTTTAACCCAAAAAAAAAAAACAAATTTAACAAATTTGCTTGGCTTCTTTATGTAGAAACTGACTACCCAACTTAGTGAACCCATTCCAATTTTTATTTGTGTTTGTGTTTTCCTCGTTGGAAATAAAATTAATTCCAATTAAAATCTGTGTTGAAAACCTATTATATATATAGAAAAATTGTTAAAGATTCGTTCATTTCATGATATTTTGACTTAATAAGGGCAATTTATGTCGCCCTGTAAACGACCTCTTTGCATTGACTTGTAGAACTTAAGGCCCAATTAGGGTTGCCATAGCCATAATATTAAAGGCATAACTTTGTAAAATACTACAAAGCTCTGCCTAAGGTTAGGGCGTTCACAGAACTGCCCATATGTTTGATCAGTACAACTAGTTGATAAGATTACAGTTACGGCTATGGTATGGCACCATTAGTTGGGCCTTTACTTTGATTTAAATTGGAAATAACGTTACCAACCATGTACTACGTAGTAACTGCTTCACCCTATAAAAAAACGTGTTTTTTTTAGTTAGTCTGGATTTTTGGGGCCTTTGAAAATTCGGTGTATGCAGTTTTGCTTAACTTTACCAGTTGAATTTTATGTGGGAATCTTTTCTTTTGTTATATAGTGTAACTTTATATAATATAAATATGGAGTGAAATTTACTTGTGCTATATACTATAGGCGGTTTATGTTATACGCTGCACAATGTCACTAATTTTTTTTTTATATAACAAACACATTGCAATACTACTTATACTTTTTATATAAATACATATGTATGTGCGTATGTACGTAATATGTATGTATGTATGTACGTACTAAACTAAACTTTTTAAAATTAAATGACACAGTGGGCGCAAAATTTCCATAGCCTGACTATAATTAATTGGCTGATTTGTGCGGCACTCATACATACATATACATACATACATAAATATGTATGTATGTACATTATATAAAGCCATACTCTTCCGCGCCATCACCAGCTTTAAGACTTTACACAGATTGCATAAATGCGCAATTTTTCATGCATACATACATATATATATGTACATCCGGATGTACTCATTCAAACCCCTTTACCATCTGATTTGGATACAATTTGATAAAAAAGCACGCGCCTAAATTCAAAAGACGTCCATCATCCATGCCAAACGCGAAAGCATATCTATCATCAACACTCGCCAACATCACCACAACCACCACCACATTCGCCACTTATGTATGTATGTAACCACAATTAGCAAGTCACTTATTTGTAAATATACATATATTATGTGCAAAGCTCGTGTGGTAATTATTAATTTATTTATTCACCACGCAGCAAGCATTTGTTAGCAATTCATATAATTCATTTGCAGTTTTGTGTAAGCGCATTTAATTACTGTCCCCAGACTATTCAAAAAGCAGCACAAAAATTAATGAGTAAACAAACATACATAGTTAGTAAAAAAAGGGCTGCAATTCTTACGGAAACTAGCTAATGTTAATGGAACTAAATTATTACCTTCAAAATATAAACAATCAATATTAATTTTCTTTTTTCTTTTTTATTACTTCTCTTTTTGACTTCTAACATGGCCGCGCGTTTCTTTGATCTTGATATTGATCCTTCTTAACTTCTTTGTCGCCGGCGGCCAGACAAAGCTAATGTGCCAAGCTCGGCCAGATTCATGGACACCGGCTCGCAACTACGTCGCAACTTGCGTGTGAAGACCAGCCCGCCTAGTAGTCCTGTTTGTACGCCTGTCATAAAGTACGAACCGGCGCCATCTATCGACGACAACGAAGATGAATTATCTGGCGTGGCCAGCCAGCTTGGGTTAGGAAGTCAAAGTGGCACGATTTCCGTTGGTATTACGGGTGACAGCACAGCTATTCTCCCAGTCGAAGGCGCGGATGATGAGCAGCCGTGTGATCTTCGCTTGAGCTCATTTCGGATGAATCTTGTGTCAATGGCGCTGCAACAGGCGGCAGCAGCCGTAATAAGCGGTGGATCAGTCACGAGCCCTTCAGGTATTCAACAAGCTGCGTTGCAAACAATGGCTGCCGCACCCCCAACCCACCTCCCGTCCCTGATTAATTTTCCGCATCCGCATACACCCCATACACACGCCCAGTTACCAAGTCAAGCTTCGGCGCAACCGCGCTCGATTACACCAACCCGTCGTTACAGCACCAGCACCAGCACAGCTACAAGCGGAGGTCCTGCTGCTGGAGTTGGACCCGAAGTAGTGCCTTCAAATAGGGTAGCATCACCACTAGGTGGGGCTATTAGCGTTGGGCCGCTTACGGCCGCTTCTAATACTTCGGCTACCTCAGGACCGTCTACCTCGGCAGCAGCAGCGGCTGCCAGCTCAGCACTTTTGACCGGTGCCAATAGTAGTGACGAGGTGGCAGCAGGCAGAGGGGGCGCCATTAGCAATAGTGGCAGCAGTCATATCGCTGTCATTGCTCCAGGATCTGGGGGCTCTTTCGGTGGCGCATATACTTGTGAACGCTGTGGTAATTCTTATGCCCGACCGCATAGCTTAAATCGGCATATGCGCTTCGAATGCGGTGTTGAGCCGAAGTTTGAGTGCCCGATTTGCCACAAGAAGTCAAAACATAAACATAACCTCGTTTTGCACATGCGCACACACCAACATCGATGATACAATCAACCCCGATATTCGCAATGACCACCGATATTCCGCCAACAACTAAACGCTTGGAAAAATACGAATCAAGAAACAACAACATCAGCAGCAGCAGCAGCAGCATAATCAACTAAAAAAGCACATCACGATTTCAAACATCCACATTGCAGACCACCTGATCGAGCGCTTTCATCTCATCCGGCGGCACTATTGTCATCCCCCACGCTTCGCCATGCTGAGGCCGAATTCTTCACAGATAGCGTAGAGCACATTCCAAAGCAATCGAATCTACATATTTTATTAGCGAAGCAGCAGTACAGTGTAGTGAATAGTTTAGTCGGTGGGAGAGGAGAGGATGCATGGATAAGTGCGGCGGGCAGCGTAAAACCATGAAGCATACATACAAACAAACGTAAATAGATACACATACATACATACACAAATGCAGGTATGTAAGGGGCATGTGAAAGGGAATTCCAAAATTCTCCAAGTGTAGCACATTATTAATCAATTAGCACGAATGTGATTTAATTCTTTTGAACAGAAAGAAGTCTTGTAATTTTCCAAATGATCTTGAGAACTTAGTCGTTTTTTTTACATTCATTTATTTTTACAATTTTACTATAGCTTAAAGTAATTTTATACGATCATGTATAGATGCATATGTATGGTTGGTTTCTCTACGGACAGACAAACCTGTTGTGTTGCGAGGATATTGATCAATTAATTAATATTGTAGTTTTACAAAAAGTCAGCATAAATACATATGTACATAGATACTTGTTGCGTACGTACGTATGTATATTTTAGTAGTAAGGGCGGTCGCTTTAACGATTGTCAACTGAAGGAGAATGGGAATGGGAGCAGCAGACATATGAAGTGAAGTGATATTTGAAGCACAAAGTGATATGGAATTTGTATGGAGTTAGGAGTTGATCGTAGGGGTCGAGCAGAGAATTTATACTATGAATGTTGTTGATTGCATAGAAAAAAGCTGAAGAAATTATATAACATACAAACAAAAGTAATAGTAATGATAATGATCTCAGTTATTTAAAATTAAAAAGGAAACTAAGACGCATTTCAAAAGTACGAAAAAAAAAAAACGACATTCACATTGTTACATAAGTATTTATACAAAATTTTTTTACTAATTTTTGAAGTATGTACAAATTACGAAGAAGCAGCATATGCAAGTGCAATAAAGAGTGCATACATACATACATACATCCACAAGCAAATATGATTATATTGCAGCTTTTGATCAAACGGGATATAAAGTAATTTGGTCACGTCCAAAAAGTAAAGGTCGTACATACGCACATACATACATACATACATACATACAGTTACTCCCAAAATTGAGCGTACGGCTCTCTACATGCTAAAATTTTTTTTTGATAATTTTGTATTAAAATAAGGCTTATATTTTAGCGTGTACAAAAATTATGAAAAATCTGCAAAGTTTCAGCAAAATCGCGAACTTTTTAATACGAATTTCTAAAAAGAATTCAGGTATGCAGTTTTATAGCCCATTCAAATTTAGTATAATAATGTGCAAATTTCAAATCTCTACAAAATCGTGTTGAGAATCTTTTTATATTGACTATCCTACGCATTTTTTTTATACAAAAAGTTTTCAGATCTTTTTTTTATATGAAAAAAAAAATGCGTAGGACAGCCAGCAAAAAAAAATAAACATCTGAAACTTGCACATTATTATACTAAAATTGAATGGGCTATAAAACTGCATACCTGAATTCTTTTTAGAAATTCGGAGTATTTGCAGATTTTTCTTAATTTTTCTACACAGTATCATTGTTGGATTTAAATGGAGTTTGCTGAAATATACGCCATATTTTATAACAAAATTATCAAAAAAATTTTAGCACGTAAAATATGGCGAATATTAACAAAAAAAAAAAAGAGCCGTACGCACAATTTTGGGAGTAACCGTATGTACATTAGGGTCGGTTAAATTGTTCGGGCGAAAGTGTTTGGACAAATCGCATGGTATTCTCGATTTCTATAGATAATTCTAAGATAAACTGTAGGAAAAACCATTTGCGGGAAACGAGTTGCTAGCCTGCGCATTTTTAAATGAAAAATTTATCTTTTCACCAAATTTTATTTGTTTCATGCTATGCCCGTTTTACAAGGTGCTCACCTTTTCTTATAACTATATGATACAAAATGCCTATATTTTAGTTTATAAAATTTTTAATTGATTACCCATACACAACGCACCACATATTGACAAGTTTTCCCAAATTAATTTTGATGTTATTCAATTTCAGTTATTTTTTGGATATTTTAGAAAGGTTTTGAACATACGGCTTTGCAGACCATTCCATTGTAGCAAAATGAAGTGAAAGTCCTAGGATTTGCAGTTGATTTTTGGCAAATTTTTGATAACGGTGTTGTGCCTTTTCCTCCATACAAAGTATGTTCGACGATTTTTTTTTTATATGGGAAAAATGAGAACAAACAAAAAAAAATTGCCAAAAATCACCGGTACTAGAATTGAGTGGGCTACAAAACTGCATACTCAAGTCGAATTAAGCAGCTCGAAATTTGGCCAGACTTTGTTGTTTTTTTTTTTTAATTTTGCCCAAAGTTTGAAATTGGATTTTTTTTTTTTTTTTTTTTTTTTGTAAAACAGTACTAATGGATAAATAAACAAGTAAAACAAATGCCAGAAACTAAAATATAGACATTTTATATAGAAAATTTGCAAGAAAAGCTGTACATAGCAGCAGAAAAGGAATGAAACAAAAAAATTTATTTTGTCAAAAGTTAATTTTTCATTTGAAAATTCGCAGGCTCGAAACTCATTTCCGATTTCCATGGTTTATTCTGTGGAAACCGAAAATACCATGCGATTTAGTAAAAAAAAAGAATCGACCCAGCCTAATGTAAATAAATATGAACCGTTTATTTTGAAAGTGGCATAAGTCATTTTTTCAGTTTCTCAGAGTACGAGTGGGACTATGACTAAGAATTGTTAAGAGTCGTTGACATACAGATTTAAATTTATGTATGTATATGTACATGAGTGTATCTATGTAAGTATGTACATACATATGTATGTATGTGCTTATTTGTTTGAAAATGTTGCGTTTTCGTGGTCCGATCGGCTCATTTGTGCATACTACTTGATAGGCGCGAAGAGTCAAAATAATCATTTAAACATAGTTTCGGGAGCTAAATATTCGACCAGACCTACATAAGATGTGTGATAGGCCTCTCAACAAGTTCATATCTATTTACTATTAAAAAATGTTATTACACAGGCATAACGATTTATGTAACTACACTCAATAAAATCGGCGAATTATTTATGCATTTTATTTTTTTTTTTTTTTTTTTTTTTGGTTTTTTTATTTTTTTNTTAGATTTCAATATTTACGTACATACATATGTGCATACACAGATAGTCAAATATATGATGAGCAATGAGTAGTTGAAACGATTTTATTTGTACCTACATTTTCTATAGCACTTTCGAGTAGGCGCATTTAGTCAAAGGATGTAACAGTTTGGAATTAGTACGAAAATGCACAGACAATGAAAAGTTAAGATTATTGTGATCTGCGTTTGAAAAACGAAAAAAATTAAAATTAAATTACATATTAACGTTATAAAATTTAGTTATGCATATATATATATATATATATATACATACATATATATGTTTAAAGAAATAAAAACCAGCTCTTAGGTAACCATGAGTAACAGAGAGAATTCGGAAACATGATAAACCTTATGTGATACTTATATACTGGGGCTGGGGCTGTCTGCTATATCATAACATTAGAATTGGTGAGACAAACAAATACACATGTACATAAGTAATAAGTAATTCTAAAATGATTCAACATGTTAACAATAAATTGCTTGCTTTTTCACTAGAGACAAGCAGAGCATGTACGTTAATCATTAACAAATTTTAATAGAAATTGAAAATAAATGTCTCAATTTCTAAATGTAAACAATTTATATACATAAGAACATACATACATGCATACATACATACATACATATGTAAGAGAAAACTAGTCATTCGTGATGAGCGATTTACAATGAATTAAAAATCTACTGAGGGACTCATAACGGTGTCGCAAGTGTCGTATTGTTGTATGTCGTAAACTCTAAAAGCTTAAATAAATGGTTAGAGAACTTGACAGCACAACTAACTATTTTTTGCAACACTGCGAAAATGCGCAATATGTCTTTGCTGGTACTTTGCCAACCCCTTTAATATATTTTTTTGGGGGTTTAAAGTTTACGACATACAACAATACGACACTTACGACACCGTTGTGAGTACCTTAAATGTGCTTATGCTTTTAGCGTTATTCATAAATACAAACATATGTATGTCCATACTATATACAATGTATACATATGTATGTTAATATTATTTTAAAAATTTTAGGCCGTTAGTTAGATAATGCAGACATGTACATACATGCTTACATACATCAAGTGATGCATACATTTTTTTTTTTTTTGTGCATGAGGTGAAAACATTTAAACAATTTCCAAGTTACTTAAAGGGAATCAAGAAATACACAATCTATGTAGATATGTATAAATATTTTGTGAAGGTCCTTTCATCGAGATCCAAGTGTGTGGACTAATGAACTAATTAACTTTGATTCAAACTACATCAACTCTGACCCACGAAACGAATGGTCGCATTTCTCCGAAAACATCGTTTTAATGAAAATATCTCGAAAACTTTTTGTCGGTCATTAAAGTGCGTCAGACCGTTTTTGTTGCCAAATAAATTGGAATTCCGGTTTTAAATATACACCTGAAATGTATCTTTTGCTATCACCAAGGAAAAGCCAAAAAAGTAAACGAACAGAAAATTGAAAAAACAGGAAGAAAAAGGCTGTGTAACATTCACTTGTAGAACTTATTTTTATTGCTTTGCATCAAGTTCGTTATTGCCTTAATTCGATGGCATAAACAAATTTACGTAATTTGTAAAGAACCCCAATTTTTAATATACTGGAGATTTTCAAAATATTTATATATCGACGGCTCAGTGGAAGATCGACCTATTTCGGCAGCCGCACAGTGCGGCCGAATTCCAAAATTGCGGCCAAAATTCGAGATAATAAAGTTTTGTAGATAGGCCTTTTTTGACATTGAGTTGGCTAAAGGGATCACTCAAGAAGCGAAAACTGTTCACTGTAACGACCTGTACCCTAAGTCCTCTCTTTATATTCATTTGTAGTGTGACCCTTCTCCCAAGCACAACATTATTGTAATAAAAAGGGAAAAGTTTCTAACGTATAAAAGTAGTTAGAGAATAGGAAATCAAACTTTTTCACGATACAGAGTAGGCAATGCCAAAAATTTGTGCTCACGTAAGGCCGTGCTCATGCCAATTCCCGTATGCACTGTAATATAAATTTTGTTTGTTAGAACGATCACTTTACTGGCTGAACAGAATGTAGTACCACAGCCACAAGCTATTTCGCTAGCTACATCAGCTATATCAGAAATAATACACAACAACCACAGCTACATATTGTGGATAGTTTAGAGCAGTGATTCCCAAAGTGGTCGACGGGGGTCTACGTTGGCGTGAAAAAATATGGGGGTCCATGAAACCTCATTTGGTTTCGATAATAAAGTACTTCCTAAGTACTTCCAAACTAGTTCGGCAATGCATGTCCGAATAAATTATGCTGCTAAACATAACGAGGTTGCTATACTCTGGGTCACTCGGGAGTGCCTGGAAATGAGACATTTGACCCATTGGCCAGAGTTGGCTTAGACCAGGCATTCCTCGATCCGCAACCAGTTATAGCACTCCCCACTTCGACCACAGAAGCAACCATCAGAAACTGGGTGGCTACTCAGCAATGACTGGGAGCCATCGAATGGATGCAGGTGGGCAAAACTCATGTTGCCTTCAATCTCAGAAGGTCTGTCTAGTTTTTTCCTCTCACTGAGAAGATGGGACTGCTGACTGGTCCCTTCACGTCGCACAAACACCTGACTGTGATAGACGTAAATTACAACTCCATTTGCCCATCCTGCTTTGAATAGGATGAGACGGTGGAACAC